TTTTTTTAAAAAAAAAAAAAAAAAAAAAAAAAAATAGGTGGGAAGAAACTTTTGGCACACCCTGTATAATGCAAGAGTAATGAATTGGAACACAAGAAACAAGTTGTGAATTAGACAAGAACGATGCGGACTGTATTTGGTTTGACATTTGACTTGACCGATACAAATACCTCCTTGAAATAATCAATTGAACGAATATTGGACGTCACAGAGTCGGCTATTAGTATCTGCTGCCTCTCTCGTGCGCTTTGGCACGTAAATATTTTGTTTACTTCTGGCGTGTCTCGTCTCGTTGAACGATCTTTTCAGTATTTTTACTCGAAGATTCGGATATCCACAAGATATCACGCGTAATCGGAGAATATTCAAAATTGTTTTATTGGAAAACAAAAAAGCCTCAAAAAAAAATTTTATTCTTTATTTTTGACTTATTTCTTCACGTAGGAGATTCGGAGAAGAAAAATATCCAAAAAATATCCGTGTACAACAGCTGTGTACTACTGCTTTAAAAGTATTTTTCATAATTGAAAATATTGCTAGTTCAAGATTGATGGAGCCCTGCTGGAGCTATATTAGTAGATCGTGGATTCATTTTCATGCAAAGTCATACTTTCAAAAAATCGAAAAATTGTTCCTCGTACCAAATATTATAAAAAAAAATGCTATACTTCGAATGTACAGAGTGGTCATTAAACGACTGAATGATACAAAATAAAAATAACATTTACAAACGCATGTTTTATTAATTTTTTACTATTTAAAAATAGAATAAAATCCTACGAAAGAAGAAAATAAAAAAAGATTTAAAGTGAACAAGTTATGACTTTTTCAAACCCTCGCCGCCCTGTTTAATATTTGACATGTCGAGTGCACTGACGATGCAGTGGAGGGGGTAGCGCTAGCGAGAAGAAAGTGGGGATAACGGCTCGCGTGCCGGCAGTTAGCCATCTCCGTTTTATATCTTCCGATCTCATTGGTCCTCAAAAATTTGCGGCACATAGTTTACAATTTTTTTTTTATCAGTTCAATGTAACCCTATATCATTTACGAGCAGATATTAAAACAATTTTTTATAACGAAGCGATACACATTGATTGAGAAAAATATATTTATATCAATGCAAAAGAAACATGATAATTTCTAACGAGAACACTGAGAGGTTGTTTCTTTAGATACCAGTTTATCAATATCTGGTTTGATACAGATAATAGCAACGAGAGGATGATGATTCATGATGCTCGTCTAAAATTTTTCTTATGCTTCCAGCGGAAAGAAAAATCTGTTTGCAAATACGAGTATACTGACAGGTGGGATATCATGAACATTCGCGATTAAAATTATTCCAATTATAACAATCAAATTCTTATTCAATTATTCCAATTTGTGGTTGTACGTGGCGCGGGTCACGTGAACAGAGTCCAAAGGCCGGTAGATTCGACACGTTTGATCTATACAAAATTGCCCCTGCAGTGAGGAACAGAGCTTTGACTACGTTGGCTTGGTGCGTAGCGATACGATCGCGAGCGGTCGAGAGGGCGAATGGCGGCCGGTCGGCGGGAAACCGGGGGGTTGGTGGAAATTAATTTTCGAGCGAGTAACCCGTTGAAACTACGCTCCGTATAAATATGCATACGCGTTTAGCGTCGGCGGCGAGTCGGTCGACGAGGAAACTCAGAGAGAGAGAGAGAGAGAGAGGGAGAGAGAGAGAGAGAATTACGAGCCAATACCTCAGGGCTAAGTGCATGGAACGGTCGTGCACCGCGTACATTAACTAAACGCGTATGATCCCGCTTCGTTGCATGGGAGGAGGCGGAGGGGGAAGGGTGGTTGCTTCTCTCGATGATGCTGCTGCTGCCTCCCTGTAATGCAATTAGCTCGCGTACCGTGCGCTCTATCTCTCCCGGCTATTTCCGAACCTCTCCAGAGCTCCGCCGCGTGTCCCCTCCCCTCGCGTAAAACCAACCAGCGAAAGGTCGACGATACTCGGAACAACGAAACTTCGTCCTTGAAGAAGAGAGAGAATCGTATCATGCAATGGAATTTATTCTCGCGAATGCGTCGTAGGAAGGCTTCTTTTCTCTCTGGATAATCCGGCACAGCCACTGAGGAAACTACACGGTGTCTTATCGGACGCTGTTGTGCATGCACGTGCATAACCATACCATAATCGGCTCGAGCCAATCCTCACGTGACGTAGCGTGACCTCTGTCGAAACACCTCAGATTGTTGCCGATCGCGTCTTTCACAGTCAATTTTAAAAGTCGAACAGACTTAATTATTAAACTTCTGCAATTGAAATTTATTTTAATCCAACATGGAGGTCGCAATCAATTTTTTTTCTATAAGATCTGTAAAAAGATCATGCGCTGTTATCCTTAAGGTAATTTGTTCTATTAATTTTAAATTAAAGATCAAATTATTTTCTTTAATTTAAGTTTTCTAATTAAATTGAATAAATTCTCTCAATTAGATATTAATTTAAATTGCATGTTAAATATAAGGATAAATTAATATAAAATTCTATAGGGTCTTATCCCATAAAAAAAAAATTTCGACATCCTTATTAAAACTTCAAATTCATAATTCATATATGAGAAAATTGACACGTTCGTGTTCAATCGACCTAACTCCATTAGTCGTCCCAATCTTCCAAACTTTTGGCTCACCCTGTACATAACGCAAGAGTAATCAATTAGAACACAAGGTATTTGCCTTCCCGGAAAGTATCGGCAGATCGCCGAGTCCTCGTCCGAGGTTGGTTTCCAAGAGAAAAAAGAACGAGCTCTATGACCTCGAAAATTGCGAGTTTCTGGAAAAGAAACAAAGGTTTCTCGAGGCGATATATTGATTCTCGACACTTTCCATGGACTCGCGACGAAAGAGAACGGGGAACGTGCTCGGGGGATGCGAAAGGAGTAAAAGAGAAGAAGTAAAGAAGCAGAAGTACGAGTATTTGAATAGAGGCGCGCAATTCTGAGAAAGCCCCCGTTACGGGTCGTGAAAGGAATCGCGCGCCCTTTCTTCTTTGCCATGGTAACCGCGATTCTCGGAAGCCTCTTTTTCGAATCGCGGCCTCTGCCAACTTCGCCAAACTGCGGAAGAAACTGTCAGAGAAAATTGAGAGACACTTACCGCCACGATTATGGAACGATTATATTCCCGACGATCGTGCTCGAAGAGATCCGGAATCGACAAGCGGACGCGACCGTTTGCCGAAACGGAGATTTTATCTTCGAACGTTTGAGACGTTCGGTTGGTTATCCTGGGAAAAGAGATTCTGTTTCTCACAGCGTGGCAGTCCCATTTGGAAAACAAAAGAAGAGGTCGAGAGGACGTTAAGCGGTAAATGCGAATGTCAACAAGGAGTGGGGGAAAGGGATGGTCCGTTCGACGTGAAGATCCGTTCGCTCCCCTCGATCGGCGAGTCTGTTCCGCGTTTCTGCTTCTTTCGTTGTCCTCCTCCCCCTTGTTGTTCTTCTTCCTCTTTGGTCGGGTCTCAAAGTGCAGACGACCAAATTTGACGATGACAAAGACGACGATCTTTTCTCCTGCTTTTTCGTTCCTTCCGCTTTTAAAAGTGAAGTACAAAGTATAGGGTGGCCACTGAAAAACTGAAGGGTTTGAAAAAGTCGTAACTTGTTCGTTTTCAATCTCTTTTATTTTCTTTTGTTGTAGGTTAATCTAAAATAAATAATATTATAATAAATAATTAATATTATAATATTAATCTAAAATAAATAATATTATACTATTATAATAAATATTATAATATTATAATTAATATTATATTAATTATATTCTATATATATTCTAATCTAAAATAATTAATATTATAATTAATAATATTAATTATATTCTATATACATTCTAATCTAAAATAATTAATATTATAATTAATAATATTAATTATATTTCCAGATAAAATAATAAAAAATTTTAAAAACATGTGTTTGTAAAAGTTGTTTTTGTATCGTAGTATTTCAGTGACCACTCTGTAGAATCGGTTGTTCCTGTTTATCGCGTCTGCTCCCTTGTCGTCCAGTCCTCTATAGTGTAAGAAAATGGCGGGAAAATAATAACCTCTTTCTAAATGAAAATTTCTTACGAAAGAAATTTATTATTTGTTCGCGTCAGTGAGTCTCTTTCATGTGAAATATGATTTTGTGATTGTTTATAAAATATAAATACACTTCTAACTAACTAATATTAATACTAACTGCTACAAATTTTACACCATTTTAATCGTCGGTAGTTCTACACATACGTGCGTGTGATTCGCCCTTAAAAAAAAAAAAAAAAAAAAAAAAAACCATTATTTTAAAAAAAAAAAAAAAAGAAGCCATCTATTACAAAAAAGAGGAAGCAATTACTTTTTTCTCCAACCCAACAACATCTGGCGTCGTCGTTGATCTTCATTCCGCAACGACAACTCCGACGATCGACCGGACCAACACACCACTCTGCTCGAGTAAACTCGGCACCGTTTTGTTTTCTCTCCGTTTGTTTCGCTCGAATGGAGCTTTCGATTCGTCGAACTCGGGGGAGGAAGAAAATCGATGGCGCGTCGTCCCGTTGCTTTGTGCCCGCCTGTACAACTTGGCACTCGTTTCGAGCAATCGGTGTGTTTGCAGAGGTGCCGATTGTTGGCGGCGTTTGCGAAGGAACACGAGCGGACAACGAACGAGACAACGGGCCCGCGTTTAAAGCGGCGTTTCGTCGTGGAAACGAGCGCAATCCGGTCTCGGTCCGGTGGACGCGGTTCAACAAAACGCGGTGCTTTGTCTCCGCTCCGGTGAGAGAGGGGTTAGGTTAGGTTAGGTTCCGGTGAACCGTGCGCGTGGATAATTTGCGGGATCCCGCCGAGGGAAATGAAATTTCATAATTATTCGAGGGAACGCGGCCGGTGACGGTCTTTAGCGGCGTGGGGAGTGCGGCAAGGTCCATGGAAATGGATCGCCAGGCAAATGAAAATCGCTTTAATAACGCCACTACCGCCCTCTCTAACTGTAATTCACCCATTACGAATGGCTGCACGTTTTCGCGAAATACTTTCGTCCCCCTCTGGGGGGGATAGTCACGCGCGCCCTCTCTGGGTTTCCACCTATTGTTGAGTAATAATAATGGCGATAATTTCGCGATTCTCGCTCGGCTTACGTTGGAGATGGATCTGTTCGTGAAAGAGGTCACTTTGTTCCATTCGCAACCTAAATCTAACCCTACCTGAACTGATTTAAACCTAATTTAAAAATCTAAATCTAATTTATCTAATGTAAGAAGAAAAGCTCTTGAAAAAATCATTTTGTCCCATTCGAAACTTGAACCTAACTTAAATTTAACCCTGCTTAAACTAATCTAAATCTAATCTAAAAATCTAAATGTAATTTATCTAATCTAAGAAAGAGACCTCTTGAAAAAATCATTTTGTCTTCTTCGAAACCTAAGCCTAACCTTGAAGTAAAAAAAAAAAAAAAATGTCAACACACGGAGTTCCTAAGCGGTCACCCACGGTCTATGTACCATCCGTGCCCAGCGCTGCTTTGGTGATCAGACGAAAACCTTTGGTTTTAGATTCTTTATTACAAATAGAATTGTATACATATATAATAAAATTTAACAATAGTTTACATTAGTAGTAGTTACTTATTCTAAGCTTAACTTACTATCTAGTATTTTAAAGGCCCGTGTTCAGGTTTGATCTACTGATTGTTGTAAATATTTGCAGTTAACAGCTTCTGTTGGCTTAGAGTGGAATTAGCATGTAGGAAAACTTAAGTTGTAAAAAAAGAAAAACCTGCTTATGCTCGCCCCAACACATTTTACACGTATTTTGGCACAATTTAACATCCTCGAAACAAAATTCGTTAAAAAATCGCATTAATTGTTAATATATTGTGAATGTTTATTTCTCTTTGAAAAAAAACTAATTTTATAAAATACTATTTTATTCTGATTAACAAAAAAAAAAAAGGATACTTAATCCTAAATTATTAGCGACGTAAAGCATATTAATTTTAAGCAAAATAATATAATAGAGACATAATATATATTGTGTGACGTCAAATGACCGACGTTTGGTTAGATCTCAAAATTTATCGTGGCGATCCATACAGGATTTTAATGCAGAGTGCTCCTGGCGGATATTACAAGTCGAAATAAAGAATGGAATTTCTCATTTGCTCCTTTGTTTTGGAATGAATTCGGCCTTGGATATTCTCCACGGCACGCGAACGAAACCTGATACGATATTTAGAAACTGCAAACTCCGACATTCCCAAGCGATAGCTTCTGAACATTCCCGGACGCGGATTCTTACTTACCTCTCCTTGCCGATAGTATAAATAAGTCAAAATTATAACAGGGAACAAATTCCGCTCCGAACCTTCGAACGACGAGCATCCAAAGTCTGATCTTGGAGTTTTACCAGAGTAGTTATATATCCGAGTATCGTTATCAATAACGAAGTCTTATATTTTGTTCTCTTGTATTAACTTATAGTTCATGCTAATAATGTTAAGATATGCTTGTTGCACGAAATATCAGTTTAAGAATAAACACATGTAATATGTACACATGTTATATCAGCTCCAGCGTTTTTGTATTAGTGTATAGTTTACTGCTATAATATAGTTAACTATTAGTGTATGGTTGACTACCATAATATAGTCAACTATTAATTTGTAGTTGACTACTATAGTGTGGTTAACTACACTAAATTGTACTATATAGTAATATATGGAAACTATATAGTTCTGTACAGTTCTATATGGCAACTGTATAGTACTATGTAGTACTATACAGTAGTACTATATAGTATAGTATAGTTGGCTACTGTAACCTAAGCTAAACCTAACCTAAACTCTAACCTAAGTTAGTCGAGGCGAATATCAGTGACGAGACGTTCGATTCAATTATTTAATAGAAAACATAAAATATTCTTTTGTCGTGTTGAAAAGACTTATTTAGTTTTTTTCTTCTTTTTTGAAGGGGTTTAATATAAAATCTTCAATTGTCATTACTATTATGAATGAAATTAAAAATATTGAAACGTCAGATGAAATTATTTGAGAAATTGAACGTATCACTCCTATAGAGTAATTATTTATTCAAACTCTAATAATTAAAATTGGACAAACATTTAATCATATAATAAATAATATGAACATTATCCCATATATTACATTAATATTATTATAAATTCATGGTTAAGTTAATCATAATATTGAAGATACAAAAAATATAAATATAGGTCCGTACTAAAATATTTCCCAAAAAATTAATTTCAATATATCACTGAAGAGTTAAAATGAATAATAATTTACTTGGACCTTTACGATATCGTGTATAGCTTAACTAAAAGTTTTCGTTCGAATAAAGTTAAAAAAAAGTACCCGCTAATATTTGTTTCTGGAGCAATCACATCTTACTACCCATTCGGTGATACGCTCGTTGCATGTTACGCACGTACAAGGATCGATCGTGGTATTTTCAGGTGAGAAGTCCGGCGGATACACGGGGAAACCACTACCGACCTACAGGCCGGCCTCGCAATTGGTCCCTCTGGGTGGAGCAGCCAGGTTGTTTTGCGAGGCGTACCTGGGCAAGGTCGAGCTGCCAGATGCGAAGAATTCTGTGACCTGGTCGAAGAGCGACAGCAACGTCACCTTACCGAGTCACGGCAGGATCGCCCAGCACAGAGTGTCCAGGTGAGTTGCGCGAAACGTTTTTCTTTTTTTTTTTTCATTGTCAAAGAAAAGGAACGGCGCGAAGATTCGCTCCGTGACTATTTGGTCAAGGTCGAGCTGTCGGTGGAAAATCGACGCGCGCCTGATATACGTGTTAACCCTCCGACTACTGAAGCATGGAGTCCTCCTGTGCCGGAGTCATTTCTGGCCCGCACGGACATTCCATTAACACATGTTTAGATCGCCCGAGCGACTCACCGATACTGTACCAACATAGTGATGGTCGCTGGAGACCGAGATCCTCACCGATATTGTACCAACACAGTGACAGACAACCCGACTCGTATAGGAACACGTAGGAGCATCTAGGAACAAATAATAATCACACGAATAATAAAGTTATATTTATTTATATTTATACATTGACGGGAGACAATCGCTGTATCCTTGCTAGGTCCAATACGTTGCCAATTACGTCCGAATTCCTGGTTTTCTGGAACTACATTGTCCACATTGTCTCTGATATATTGTCTTCTTGCATTTCGATTTCGGAACCTTGCGTTTGGGGAATCAGCGTCACTATTTGATACACTTCCGTTGTCTGACGATTGTTCACCATCAGGAACGTCTTGTACATATTGAGCGAGAGAACACAAAGAAATATCGCTCGTTGGCAATGAGAACAAATGCGTCGACAAGTGAAAGCAAATGGAAACAACGGAAGAAAGTAATAAAAAACAACAAAAAGAATAATTGCTTCGATTTTGCTGCACACGTGTTTCCTCCTCAGAGCGTTACCAAAAAACTGATTCCTTTGTCTTCAGTCTTCGTCACTTCGACACTTTGGCGGACACGTGTTAGCCACTTGGCGTTCGTGTGTTGGTGCGATCAGGTTTCAGCTCCCGTCACTGTGTGCATTATTGCGTTCGAGCTCTCACTATACGGGTCAAGAATGACCCGGTCACAGTAGGGTTAATTAAGCGGCACTCGCGTAGCATCGCGTCTCGTGTTTGAGGAGGAGCGTCGGAATTCCGCTTTGATCCGAGGCGAATATCGTGGGAGAAGCACGTTTGCGCTTCTCCTCGACTGGGAGAACCGTCTGCGTTCCGGAATCGGTACACCGGGTAGAATCGTGGCTAACGAGAGACGCGTAATGAAATACCCGTGGTCATTATCGCCGGAAATACGGATTTCCCTCTGTTGTGCACGAAAGTAGGTCGTCGCCATGGGTCAGTGGCCGCTGAGCGGGGATGAACACGCGCGTCCGAAGTCGAACAACGTCCGAATCAGTATCCCGAGAGTCTGGATATGACAATATTTTTCTGGTCGAACCGAACAGAGCGGGATTTCCGCCGATGCGGATGATTCTCGTTGGCAAAACCTGCCATCTCGCGGATAAATTTCGAAACAGATGGGGCATTCGACTCGAGGAATATTTTTGTTGTTTATAATAAAGTAATGTATAATAAATTATTATTGTTATTGTCAATTTATATTATATTAATATGTATACTGGTTGTTTCCTGTAACGCGACGCACGATTTTTTTTTCCTACTTACAGTCATCTGACAAAAAAACAGTTTAGAACAAAAGTTCAACAGTACAAAGTGTACAGTGGGTATATTCAATAAAAGAAATTTCGAAAACTGTTTGTTTTCATAAATCAACGTCACTTTGGATGAAACAAATAGGAACACATAATTTTTTTGCTACCGTATTGTAGAGAACATGGAGACGAATTCAGAACACATGTTACATACACTTTACATAAATAAAGACACATATTACATACACTTTACATAAATAGAGACACATATTACATACACTTTACATATTACATATTACATATACTTTACATATTACGTACACTTTACATATTACATATACTTTTGACGTGATATTTTTATCAACATGTTACTCCATTTACAGTAGTAGAAATGTGAACATTTAGCTTACTTTAACTTCTCGTCGTATTTGATTCCAAGGCAGTGTAAACATAGTTGACCTCGGATTACTGAACGTAAACATAGGACTAGAATCGATTTGTTCTGTGCCATTGCGGTTTCCTTCGTTTCATATTTCCAATATTTGGTGCGAAGTAATCGCTTGCAACAACAATGTGTTCTTTTTCTAATTTCGAGAGAGTTGAAATGCTGTGAATTTTTTGGCGAATGCGAGAGAAATCCTCGAGAAGGTACTAAAGTGTACAGAGATAGATTTCCGCAACGGAAGCAACGATTTTCCACTACTGTAGATGGAGTAACATGTTAATAAAAATATCATGTAACATGTGTTTTGAATTCGTCTCGATATTCTCTACAATACGGTAAAAAAAAATTGTGTTCCTATTTGTTTCGTCCAAGGTGACCTTGATTTAGCTACGAAAACAGAGTTTTCGAAACTGTTTTCTATTGATACCCACTGTACACCTCGTACCGTTCAACTTTTCTTTTAAACTTTGTTTTGGTCAGGAGAGAAATCGTGCGTCGCGTTACAGGAAACACTCTGTATATAAATGTATATTAAATTATTATTATTATTACTAATAATACGTTTCGATGTACTCTAACGTTTCATCACGCGTAACAAGACACGAGAAAGTGAAGAAAAGAGAAAAGTGTTGAATCACTTTCATTTTTTTACTTTTTTTTTTTATTGAATTTTGTTTCTCTAGAAAGAAAGATTTTCTAAATTACTTGAGGGGGAATATAGCGACGAAATATTATTCGGTTTACTCAAAAAGGAGAAATTGACTTTTGGCCAACTTTTCGGGTGAAAATGCCCCTCTCACTACGCGTCGCTGCAAACGATGACTATAACCGAACGGGATACGCGGAAACCAATAACGACGACGCTCCCCTCCCTTTCGATCTTTACGTTTGGCGTTAACTTCAACCCTATCGATACTAACGACGACTATGGTCGTCCAAAATTATTGTCCATTGTACGTCGATAATAACACGCGTGGTACTGCAAAAAAGATCAAAGGGATCATGTTTACAACGAATGAAAAATTTGAAGAAAAGTTGATTTAACATTGGAACTATCAAAATGGTCGAAATCACTAATTTATAATTTTCTACGGGAATTTTATATATTTATAACAGTGTACTTTCAGATACTCGAGTGATTTTTAATATATCAGTGCAAGCTTGTGCTCTTTATTGTATTATTAACTTTTTCTTGTGACTTGCACTTTAATTTCTTTGGTACAAATATTATACTTCTTTCGTCGGTAGTTGTTCTAGTATTAAATGTCGAACATCGGACAATTTACTAATGCTTGGATAGTACGACAAGAGGGATGTTTTTATGCTGGCTACTCTCCACACTCGAGAAACAATACGCAAACCAGCGTGCCTAGTCCACTGTAATTATTCGATGGGAGCAGTTGATAATAGTGACATCGAATCTACAAGGAAAACCATCAAACGGTACAAAAAGTTTTTCTTTCGTACGTTGGACATATCCAGTTTGGAATTCGTATTGTTTGTATAAATTCTAAAACAAAAGGAAGACATTTCGATCGCCGACTATTCACCCAACGCTGATGAGACAAATTTTACAAAAGTATCGCAGAGACAATTTTGTTAAAATTCTTACCAAGTCTTGGGATAAAAATGCTCTCGGGCCGACTGCTAGGCATTTCCCTTCGATTTGTACCGGTGATAGTGATCGAAAAGGCGCGGCAAGAAAGTGCGTTGTTTGTTCCAAAAATGACAGACGACGAGCAAGTCACTGTTGTAAAATTTGCGACGTAGTCGTGCGTCCACTCCCGTTTTGAAATATTTCGTACAAAATTATATCATTGAACAATTTTACAAAGCGTTGTTACTATAAAACAGAGCTGGCCAACTGGCGGCCTCTGCCCTCACTCTCCTGATCGCTAGCGCTCTACCCCCTCCACTGCATCGGTCTCCCCACTACGTTGAAATTTCGACGCAGTGGAGGGGGTAACGCTAGCGATCAGGAAAGTGGGGGGCCGCCAGTTCGCCGAGTCCGCTATAAAACGTGTTAAAGTACGATTTTTTCCGACCAACTCGTTACAAAATTTAACTGCTACGCTCCTCATTCCCATAAAGTGGCATTCGCGTAGTGATCGTCCCTTTCTTTCCAATGAAACTGTAAGTTCAACGGGTGCGCAATGCCCAAGGATGAGGTCTCATCGAAATCAGCTCCTCTCGCTGATGGAAGACAAAGTTGGACGAAGGCTTGTCGCTCGGCGAGCGATTTCCAGCGGATCGCAAAAACTTGCCGCGACCAAGGCGGAGTTTCGCGAACGTCGCGTTTCGGCGAACGTCGTGGGCCACTCTCGACGCGCAACGGACAGAAGATCCAAGGGATCCGACTAAACGTCACGGTCTCCCCGGACAATTACTCTTTTTGCCAACGACGTCCTCGCCGCTGTTACGGACGTAATAACGCCGCCGTGGAATCCGGAGCTGACCTGGCCGGAGAGGAGAGCGCCCGGAGACCAGCGCAAAATTCGTTCTTCCGCGGAAAGCGTGACAGAGTGAGAGAGCAGAGGAGAGGTGGGCAAAAAGCACCGGAGGAATCTCTTGGTCTACGGTGGCCGCCGCCCTTGCACGTCCGACGAGATGGTCTCTCTCCTCTCTGGTCTGTTACCGCGGTGAATCCAAGGTCAAACGGAGAAACGTCATCCGTACGCAGATAATCTCTATAATCGCAAGATTCATATTTCTATAATAGACTGACAAGATTCATTTGTCTTTAGCTCTATAACACGGAATTGGAAAATCCATTTCTCTGGATTAACTATCTCTTTGCCCATTTCTTTTCAGTATTTTATTTATTATTTCTCTTTGGTGTTTAATTTTTTGGTTTATTATTTGTTTTGCCTGGGTTACACTTAAATATACTTAAAGGTATTCTAGTGTAAAGTGCGTGTTTTTTTAACTTTGTTAGGCAATTTTTTTTGCAAAGAAACTATCACACCTTTTGCAGTTAAATTGACAAGGTTTATTTGCACGTATTTCAGCGACGTTTTAAAATTTTTTGGG